GATGTTGATTTTAATTTCGTAGCCCCTCACAATCCTTTTGTACCTGGCAAAAAAAACATATTTCTTACTGGGCACCAAAGATTGCAAAAAAAGAAAGGAAAAGAATTGTGTTTTTCTTTGTCTCTCAGGTGTCAGTATAGAGTTTCTTTGCTTTCCCCGGCCCGAGGAACCCATTGAGCATGTCATGTCCTGCCTGCTAGCCTTGTCCACTCTGCTTGAGTCTCCCTGTGCAAAGACCCACATTGCGGAAGACCAGGTAAGGGCATCTTTGTTTTTGATTGAAAAGCTTTGGGACGTTCACACAGCTTTCTGTTTCTGAATTTTTCTGCATTGTCAATTCTGAAACAATTTCTTGCTTTTTAATAAAGGGAATGACAATTTGTTTATTTATTTATTTTTATCTGATTTGATGATTAATCGAATTTTTTTTTTTTTACAGATTATTGAAATAATCGTTAGTTGCAGCCCAAGTATTTATGTTGTAAGAGGAATACAGCAAGCAGCTTCACTCTAGCTGTTTCATTGTTGTACATCAAGTGACACATTTGCCAGGATTGCTTCAGTGAAAACACCTGTTAAATACAACAAGGCCATGTGGTACTTACTGCTTTCACAAGGTGACAAGGGTCACTTGGGTGCGCTATCATACAATAGATCTATGCCAAACCTATGCTTTGATTTGGTTAGGTTGACCTGTTGAAATTCTAAAGGCCACAACACATGCCTGTGATTGGCAAGACTGGAGTATTTGCTTTCTTGCACTAGTTTCAATAAGTGTTACTTTTTTTTCTAGCTGCTGGCAGTGGAGCTCCTGAATGTACTTCACAGACTGTTGTTGACCCGGGACCCTCCTGCAGTCCAGCTCCAGGTGACTGCTGTCGTACAGGAGACCATAAAAGCTGCGGTGGACCATATTCAGCAACAACATATCAACAAAGGTCATGAGCTAACCCATTGCCCTCCTTGGTTTACATGACAACATGACACTGTGTTCCAAAGTTCTTCGTTTGACAATATTTGTTGGTAGGTTTAGACAGCAAAGTGGTGTAGTGGTTAGCGCATCTACCTCACATGTTTTAGGTTGGAGGTTTGATTGAGGGCTCTGGCCATCCTGTGTGACATATGTATGTTCCCCCTTTGCACTAACTCCCAAATCCCAAAAACATGTATGTTTAATTGTTTCATGGTAGACTAAATTGTCCAGAGGCCACAATATGAGTGTGAATGGTTGTTCATCTATTTGTGCCCCATAATTGGGCAACCAGACCAAAGTGTACCCGTCTCTAGTCTGAAGTCAACTGCGACCCAAATAAAGATAAGCAGTATAGAAAGTGGAAGGAGAGGTTATTGGTTTGCTTTCTACTGACAGAGCAATATGATGTTCAGTTTTACTGATCTAGGTCATGATGGCATTTTGCACAGGCAAAGAGGAGGAAGGCCAGAGAGATTCTCAACTCAGCCTAGGGGAAGGAGGAGAGACGGGTGAACTCGTCCCTGGCACCTCTCTGGTGTTTGCCGCAATGGAGCTGCTGGTGTTCATCCTGGTTCGCCACTTACCACAGCTCAATACACGTATGAAGGAGTCACCCAGCCATGTGTTGATCAGGCCTCAACGACTACCTGAGGAGAGTGCACGCCTCGTGGCAAACAGCGTTTCCATCTTGGCAGAACTGCCCTTGCTCTGTTCCCCAGCTGGTAAGACACACATCTTAAAAAAACAATGCTGAGTTTGTTTCACTAAAGAAACTATACTTGAACATTTTTTCTGCATACTATATTACAACTCAGACATTTTTACTGTTGTGTTTATTCATCATGAAAATGATGCCCATGTTCTTGTGGTTTCTGTTCTCAGGTAGCATGACCATCCTACCTACTGTCCTCTTCCTAATCACCGGCGTGCTGAGGGAAACTGCAATTAAGACTGCTGACAATTCCGTGCCTATATCTGTGTCTGCCGCACTGCAGGGCATCAAGACCATTATCACCTCCCCATTGGCTCGAGTAGATAGCCTCCAGACACAGTGGACTGCTCTTGTGAGGAGCAGCCTGGCTTCTGTACTTGAGGACTCACAGCCAGGTTTGTACAGACATACTCATCCTAAAGGACGAACCATGAGCAATATGCGATATGTCAAACATAATTTGTTTTTTTCTTTAGATGAGTCCAGACCAGATTTGGATGAGATCAGTATGTTGACGGCAATAACACTCCTCCTACTGTCTGCTAGTAATGAACTTGTAGGAGTTACTGTCCTGCAAAAGGGCTGCATGGAACGTTTCCGCAATGCCCTCAACTCTTGTGATCCTTGGGTAAGTGCCTGAACCGCAAAACGCTCATCATACACATTGAAATCCTGGATGTGACTTGTTCTCTTTTGTGATTTTTCATTCAATTTTTTTTTTTTTTTTTAAACACTCGTTCCAGGTTCAGGCACGGTGTTACCAGCTGCTCTTGTCAGTGTTTCAACATCCTAGCCGTCAACTTTCTACACCATACATTCACGCTCTGGCTCCACTCATGGTGGAGAAACTGAAGGCAGTAGAGCGCAGTCGGCCAAGGACGTCCGCTGAGCTGCAGGCTGTGCAGGAGGGCATCAGGGTCCTGGAGAATCTTGTTGGCATGGGTGAAGAGCAGAACCGTGAGTGTCTCTTTGCTTAATGGATTACTAATGTGTGCTCTGTTTTTCCATTCAAGTGTATAGTTCAGTGGCTATAAATGTGCATTAGTAATGATCAAAGCATCAAGGCTATTTTTAGGATGCTTACTACAGCTTTACTGGCAATTTTGCTGTTATTGTATTCTATTAATATTCGTGAATTTCTTTTGTATGTCCCCTGACGGATGTACGACAAAGCTATACAAAAATATTCACCGAGTTATGAATTATCTGGCATACCGTATGTGCAGGGCTTTAAACTGCCCCTAAACGGTGGCGTTTTTCTCCTAAAATTCAAGACAGTGCATGTAAATTATTCAGATAGTCGCACCTGTGCAACCAGTAGTAAAGTCGCTGATATATATTTTTTAATTAAATAGTTTCTGTTGGTGACAAACGTCTTTTCCACACTTGAGCCCATTTAGCAGTATTGAGTGGAAATGTTTACTTCCACAAATCCTCTGATTATGCCCCCTACAATGTACACTGTTCTCCCAATAATTTTTTTTTAAAAAGTTAGTGGAAAATATTGCCACCAAAACTGAATGCTCAAGGAGCTGAACTGAATGCTCGAGGAGCTGTTACCTCCTGTCGTATCACAAGATACTGGCACCCACCACAGTAAAACAGTGAGGAAAAAAAAACCCACAATGACCAATGGTGGGTGAATAAAATACAATTTTACTTGAATATGAAAAATGATTCAACACCATCAGATTTTGTGCAAAGATGACTGAGAATGCTGCAATTTGAATTGTATTATAATTACTCAATAATTGACTCACTTTACTCGCATAAAGACTTGGATAATGTTATTTCTAATTATTATTGTTGTATTATCTCATTGTTTTTCCATGTGCCCAATAGGAGTGCAGTTGGTGGCTCTTCTTGTTCCAACACTTATCTCGTACCTTTTGGATGAAAATGCCATTCCTACTGCATCCCAAGCCTCCAAAGGCCTCCATGACTTTGCCCTTCAGAACTTGATGCGCATCGGCCCTCTATACCCAGCTGCCTTCAAGATGGTCATTGGTGCAGCGCCTGAGCTTAAAACCCGGCTGGAATCTGCTGTTCGGGCAAACCAGGCCACCAGCAAAGCTAAAGACGCAGCACGCCAAGCTCAGCCAACAGTCCAAGTTGCACCAACTATCAAACTCAAAACTAGCTTCTTCTAAACACTCAAATGTTCTCACACAGACCTGTTTGATTTGTGTCAAATGAATGTCTGTATCAAGGAATAATTTTTTCCATTGTATTTATTTTAAATCTCATCTGTGTCTTAAACAAATGAGAGACCCTTGTGACGTCCTTAAAATGCATCTGAATGTTCAATGAAAAGATTGTCCCTGTAAAATCCATTGCACATTTTGATCACACAAATGTATTGTCTTCTGGATTGATACACATTTGCGGTATTGTACTTTTGCCCCTACTACTTTCTACCCCCCTTCATCCAAATACATTATTTTTACATCACCTTAAGCCTTGCAGTAATAGGTTCCATCAAATTTTAATTGTCTTGAATTAATATTCCAATGCCCTGTTTTAGTCGTGATTATTTTGAGCGCTCAAGTGTGAGGCTTTTTGGATTAATTGTGTAATTATCTTATTTACATTGAATCTGAACTCTTTCATACAAAATTTTAAAATAAGCCTGTGTCTAGTTTTGATCAGAATTAGCTCTCATGCTAAATTTAAAGATTACTTAACAACCACAGTACAGATCAGGGTCACCAAAATGGCACCATGTAGCTCCTGAGGACCATAGGAGTATCCTGTGGGCTTGTTCTAAAAATAGTGATGGGACATTATGATTTCATATTAATGATGATCATTTCTAAATGTAAACACTTGCAGAGCTATATAGAAATAAAGTGTTGCAGACAGTATTGATATTTTTTTCTTTCCTTTTAAAATCATTGTTGATAATTGTTAGAAGTCATTAACATCATCACTGTCTTCATAGAGATTAATATATTGTTAGTAATAAAAACATACACGGTAAGATGTGCAAATTTGCTATTTTAGGAGTGTGTATCCATCTAGTAGCGCTTTGCATTCATCAGCATCCAAGGGGGGCTCTCAGTTTCCAAACGGTTAGATCGTCCATCTTTAGATTATTCAACACAAATACTATTCGGATAAAGTCCTTAATTGTTGTGTTGACATTTTTTGGGGCGTTGTAATTTGGAAAGCTAATGCTTTTATTTTCAACATCATTCCCAATTGTTCACTTTTTAGTGCCGTTTCCTTGCTCGAGAAATGAAATACAGTAGATGAGTCTGACCCCCTCCCAGCTAGCATGTGGGCGGGGCCTTTACGCTGACGTCATTCAATGACAGCTAGCTGTCAGAAAGTGAGTTCATTCCCCGGACTCGAGAAGACGGTACGCCGTCGAAAGCGGGTATCTGTTTGCTTACATTTAGCGACAAGAAACGGTGAGACAGAGGATAAATCATCGTAGCGAGCCCGGCCATGGATGAACAGGCCGGCCCCGGCGTGTTCTTCAACAACAATAACAACTCGGTTTTACCCGGCGCTGGTAAAGGACCGCTGCCCGATGGTGACGCAGGGGAGGCGGCTCGGGCGCAGTACAGTATCCCGGGGATCTTACACTTCCTGCAGCACGAATGGGCCCGCTTCGAAGTCGAAAGGGCACAATGGGACGTGGAGCGGGCCGAATTACAGGTGAAAATCACCCCATTTTGCACATTGGTGACTATTTATTCTGACAGTCTCGAGGCATTGCCCGATTCCATTCCAGTGCTTCTCGTTTGAGCTTCTGCGAATGATTGTCCTCATTACTAGGCTAGCTTGTTAGCTTTCGCTTAGAAGCTAAACGCTATAACGACCCCCACGACCCGACCGGACGATGGTTGTTTTCGACCCAGTTACTGAACCAGCTTGCTGTGTCGGATGAATGCGTTTGTTTTTTGCGTCGCGTTTGATAGTGGACTTGAACAAACAATTTGTGGATTTCCTGTTAGCAAAGTGATACAGTTGTTAGCTAGCTGTTGCTAACAGTCACGGCTAAGTTCGCTGGACGCTTATGTTTTCGTTGTTTAAGTTCACGAAATTTCCCGAAGAAGCTTTACTAAACTAATGTTTCTATGGTGATGATTACCAAGTACCTATGTAGTTGTCGGTCATTTGTTTTGTTATTAGCTAGCTCCTCCAAAAGCCACATACCACACTATGGAGTCACAATGTATTGTTATGCATTGGATTGGATCGTATGGCTGCCACTGCCACTCCCCAGAAACAAGGCGTTAAGATCAATCTCGACCACTGTATGTGTATATCTCATATCAGTTTCACTTTAAGTCACTTTAAATATAGCTCACAAAACTGAATTCTGAGACCTGGCTAAAAGTATGGCTGTCAATGGCTGTCTCCCCTTCCAAACACATTTACTGTTTGTATATTTTTTCTCATGTAATGCTTCCAACAGTGACATAAGTAATGCCCCAATTTGAAAGCAAACCACATAATTGACTTCCTGCAGTAGATTGACCACATTCTATTTTCTGATTGAATTAAGTTTTCATGCCAAACGTTTATCTCTGTTATTTTGAGCCGACATGTGGGGTTGAATCAAGACGCATTTTGTTGTCTGGGGGTAGAATTGTCCTCCAATTATGCTGCTCACTGTGTGGCCACTGTTTTTAACTTCCTGCCTGTATGCAGAAACAATTCTAGCAAAGCATAGTGAGTTTGCTGAATGTCTTGTTGGGTGGTATGTTTGTGGCGGCAAACTACAGCACAATCAATTCCAGCTTACTTTTTTGTTGTTGGCATCTTTAATGACCGGTTGATATTCTGGGCATGATTTCAATGTCTCGTTTGTGCAATGCGGCATACTAAGCACTTAACGCTTGTTCTTACTCACAATTTTGATCACTCGAGCACTTGTTCTCCATTAATGCATCCATTCTACACCACTTACGCTGTGCAAGGACACAGGAAAGTTTGTGTCGCTCCCAGCAGACTTCAGGTTGAAAGATGTTCGTCAATCACCGCGCATGGCACTTTTTGTTTTGTTTTCCCAACAACCCGAAACGCTACGATCATGATTGTATCAAATGTGACTGCAACCTTTTTGTGTCCTTGACCTACAGTATCCTCCAAAAGTATTGGAAGGGCAAGGTAAATTACTTTGCTTTTCTTGTATAATGAAGACGCTTGGGTTATATTCATCATAAGATTAACATAAAATTAATATGAGGCAAAAGTTCATAAGTTCAACTTTGATTTCATGGTATTTACATCTAGATGTCACAAACAACTCGGGACAGAGCACATTTTGTTTGCAGCAACCCACTTTTCAAGTGAGTAAAATGATTGGAACTGACTTTATCCACTGAATTTAAAGTGAACAACGTTTAATATATACCAGTAGTGGCATGACTCTTACTTGCAATAACTGCATCTAGCCTGTGACCCAAAGACCTCTTCAGATTGTTGCATTTTTCATTTGAAATTCTTTTCCAGGCCTTTACTGTAGTCTCTTTCAGTTCTTGTTTATTTCAGGGGCTTTCTCCATTAATTTCACCTCTTCAGGAAGTAAAATAAATGCAATATTCAGTTAAGTTTTTTTGTTTGTTTTGTTTTGTAAAATGCCTAATTTGTTGTTCTGTTTATTTTTTTTTATTGTTTTTTACTACATAAAGTGCCTTTGAGTGTTCTGTTAAAGCGCTGTATTATTATTGTTCTTATAGGGCTACATTCACACTGCAGGCCGTTATGACCAATTCCATTTTTTTTTTTTTTTTTTTAATCTGAGTTTTTTATGGGCTTGTTCACATTACAAAAACCTAAGCAACTTCTAATGTGAATGCAACGCTTCTTTGATATGACACGCATGCGCACAAAGCACAACATGGCTGTGTTTACGAAAGTAAATATCGTCAGGCGTGTAGGGGCTCATGTTTTTATCATTTTATAATAACAGAGGAGCGATATGGGAGGAGTTAGAAATATTATTGGGAGGTGGGCAATGATTTTCGATCTCTTCCTTTCATGGAGACGTCGACTAGAGATGATCTCACATCATCACCACATGTAAGAAATGAGCCATTTGCATGGCTGAATTACTACTGTCACAACAAATGTCAACTTTATGCTTCATGTTACAAGTGGGATTAAATTAAAGTCAAATGTAAATTCAACGCTGTTACTCGAAACAGTGCAGATTCACGGTAGTCTCCCGAGCTAATATTCTTCCCCGCCTGCACGGAGCGCATATTGGGCTTTTGATGATGTTAAGGTTGGATGCATGCAGACACATTTCATACATATTCAGTTTATATCCAAAGATGTTAGAGGCCCAGGTCAGATTTGAAAAAATATGAGTTGTACTGTTCACACTGCATGAAAATATCTGATACGTGTGGTCAATATGGTCAAAAAAAATCGAGATTTAGCTGCAGTGACACATCACCAAAGACTTTGCACTTTTTCCCCCTGAAGTCCTTTGTTTTGTTGGTAGTGTTTTGGGTCATTGTCTTGTTGCATGACAAAGTTTCTCCCAATTAGTTTTGATGCACTTTTCTGTAAATTTCCAGAAAAATGGTATTGTAGACTTAAGAATTCATTCTGCTGATACCATTATGAGTAACATCACCAATAAAAAACTAGTGAGCCTGTTCTAGAAGCAGCCATGCAAGCCCAAGCCATGACATTACCTCTCCCACGCTTCACAGATGATCTTGTGTGTTGTGGATCATAAGAAGATCCTTTCTTTCTCTATATTTTGGCCTTTCCATCTCTTTGCTGGAGGTTCATCTTGATCTCATCAGTCCAGAAAATGTTTTCCCCAAAACTTTAGTGGTCCATCTCTGTACTTCTTTGCAAAATCCAATCTGGTCTTCTAGTTATTTTTACTGATGAGGGGTTTGCATCTTGTGCTTTGGCTTTTATGTTCTCCTCTTGAAGTCTTCTTTGAACAGTTTATTCTGATACCCCTCCCCTGTGGTGGTTGGCAGTGATGTCACTGACTGTTGTCTTTGGGTGTTTCTTCACAGCTCTTCCAATGTTTCTGTCATCAACTGATGTCGATACCCATAACCGACCTGTTTGATGTCTGTTGTGCACCAGTAATCTTTCTTTTTCAGGTCGTTCCAAATCGTACAATGTTTATGCAAAAGTTCTGATGCTTGTGGAGGCTCTGTCGTACAGGAAAGTTCCATCGTAGAAAGGGTTCCGTCAGTCGTCATCTGTACCTGTGGGTAAAAAAAAAAAAAAACAAACAAACAAAAAAAAAAACTACGACAAAAGTTCTGATTGATTGTTCCTCTTCTCTCAGCTTCAAAATGGTTTGATTGAATCACAAAGACAGTTTTCTGGTCTTTGTGTTTGCTGAACAGCCAATCCAGATTTTACAGGTGAAACCCAAAACAAAAAACAAATACTAGCTAAGGTTTCATCAGTCAATCTAAAAGGCAATACCCGAGCAACTACAAAGACCCATCAGTCACTCGTTCCAATACTTTTGCTCACTTGGGTTCAAACAGAAGATGCTCTGTATACTCTTATCATATATTGCCGAATTAACATCCAACAATTGAGAAATTTAGCATTATTTCAGTCATTGCTTGTTTCAATATTTAACTGAGCCAGTGTGGGACAAATAAAGGATATCTTAAGAGTCCATTTGCGTACACAACATGTCTTATTTTGCTTTATTTGGGCCGATGGCAAGCCCCACAGCATGCAAGAATGTTGCCCAGCAAGCATGTTAGGTCCCGTGAAGAGCCACTCCTCTTTACCTGGGCAGCCCTGAAACTGACTGTACTGTACTGTACTGTACTGTACCTGTCAGCTCTTCTAGTTGCTGTGTTGTGCTGCGGTCAGACCGCAAATGTCCGTTACGACTCGGCCCACGTCTTGTGTTGATCGGCCCATTTTTTTGATTGTGTACATTTGAAACTGATCTTATTCTCTGTTACATTTTCTATGTCCAAGGTTTGTAATGATAACAAAGTAAAGTATATCACAACTGTATGTTCTTGTTTTTTTTTTTTTTTTGTCCCCCCCCCAAGTAAATGTTTTTTGTCATAAAATCATTAGTCTGAGCGGGTCGCTTCCTCAGTTTCTTGTAGGAGATGCTGAACTCCATGTTTAAGTTACTCTTGGTATGTGTGTGTGAGTAGTCTGTACAAGGGCTTTGTTTTGAAACTTTTTTTTATGGATGTAATCCAGTGTTCATAGGGTACATTATATAGGAGAAGATGTTTGAAAATACTCTGGAAGCCTGTTGATAGCGGAAAAAAAATCTATGTTTATGATTGTAAATTGTCAGTGACAACTGAAGTTAGCTTCAGATAAGTTTAGTTTTAGTGAGCCTAGATAAAATTACGATGTTCTTGAGTTGACTTTCAAGACAAAGCCAGACAATTTGGCCCTAACGCTCAGAGGAAAAAAAGCACAGTGCCAAGTTCAAACACAGACTTGCACTTTATGTGGCTTTCAGAAATTCAGTCACTGTCACTCCTTGGTCAACTCAGTACTTTATTTCTCCAAACAGGCTGGAGTTATTTTTACTTCCCAGTACATGCATCAGCTTGGGAAAGTACAAACAAGTATAATTCCAAAAGATGCGATTGTTACATTGCGACTACTCATGTTGTTTCTCACAACAGTTCCCAACTCATAGTTTTAACAAGACCGTCATATTTGGCACCAAAGCAGTCGTTGCAGTGACAAATAGTCAGTGTGAACAGATAACAATCAGCCCGATAAAATATGATTCTTAAAGCTTGTTTCTCTGAGCTTAAGAATATACCCAATGGGCACAGTTTCTCTGATTAAAAAGTAAGAATTGATTTCCTTGTTCATTGTTACTAGAAACCGCAGGGTAAATCCCGAGGTCTCCTCATGCTCCAAAAATAATTAGTCACCCTCTACGCTAGTGGCTACACTGGAGTAAAATGTATGTGTCACTTTCTCTTGAAGTGGAGTGAAGCTGTCGGACATGCTGAAAGCTGTTCCAGATAGCCATGACCTTCTCTATCTTGTGGGGCCACGTCCTCTTAAAAGATGCCAAAGGTCACTTGCTGCTTGCTTGTTCTCACTCTCTGAGGTTGGTCATCAAGAGCAACACTCCATTGTAATACTGTGCCAGTAAACAGGAGATGTAACATGCACAGGCAGTTTAGTTAGGCATAGGCGATGTTTTGTACCATCTTGATTAGTGTTGCACCAAGTACCGGTACCAAACCGAGTCAACATTTTAGCCAGCAAAAATGATTCAGTACCATAATTTTTTCAGTATGGGGATTTGAAAAACAAATACATAAAAATCAGTGATGCCGCTCCACTCTGTCAAAAGGGGGATGCTGCTCAATGTGTTGGTACCCAAGTCAAGTGCAGTCTTAGACACAGACAGATGTGGCTACGAACTCTTGTACTTTGATGTTTAACTAACTCCTTACAAAGAAAGAAGATGCACGCAGTGTTGTCTGGACTTCTTTTGTAGACTTTCCACTTGGGATGGGTACCAAGCCCCGGTACTAAACTGGCCCCTGGGGCTGAATTATTAACAACTGAAGTATCGGTATGCCTCATGCTTTCACATCAGCTGCAGCTGTAACAAATTCCTTTCCAGAACATTTAATAATTGTTTCTTCCATAATAGATTATAGTCCAGCCCTAATTCCAATGCAATGTTGTTCTCATGTGTCAAGAGGAAAACATTGTCATGGATTGAACAGCAGTTTTTTAATTTTGATATGGATTGTTAGTTTTGTAATGGACTAAATTAATCCAAATGATGTTTTATTTTGTTTTTTGTTGCCCCCCAAAATAAACATTCCTGATAAATCCCAGCTGGAGTTAACTGTATTTACTACTCTTTCAGATGATGAATGACTTGCACCTGTCTTGCTTCTGGACTTGTGCCACTTATCATCCCTTGTTGCTGCCACTGTGATGGAATGTGTGGAATGTACTTGGCAAGTTATCAGTTCGAACATCATGTTGATTGTGGTGTGGTGGGGAGCTGAGTCAACTCCGCTCATTGAAAGAAAGCTTGTTTGCATTTGACATAAGGGATTTACACCAACCCCTGTTCCTCCTCCAGTCGCAAAGGGTCACCATGTGTGGAAGCCCTGAGGCCATATGAGTAGCCTCATGCAATCCTGTAAAATGGAGAAAACTCAAGCTTTGTTCAACTGCAATTCATCGTGTTAACTGTTTTGAGCTCGATCAACGGACTTGCTGTTAGTAGAGTCCTTAATATTAATCTCATTGATATCTGGAGTTAAGACGCTTTTGCATCACTTCAGGCCTAGAATACTTAATAATAATAATCTTCATCATCATCATCATCATAATAGAGGTGTCCAAATTAACCGATTAATCAACAACTAATCAATCATCAAATTAATCAACAAATATTTCATTCATTGAGTAATCATTTAGACTCAGTTGTTTAAAATTGACCAACTCCTCTAATTTCAGCCTCTTAATAATAGTTACTCTCTTATTCATGTTGTCCTAATGAAAGCAGACAGATTATTTTTGTGTTTAATCAAAAGAAGTTATTTGCAAATATGCGCTTTTTTTTTGGAAAACAATGACCAGTCCAATAACTGAATCAGTTTCTACACGGTTGGTGAATACAACATCAACACCTCTTTTTGTGTTGCTGTTTAATTGTTGTTTGGGGGGTTTTCCTTACCACTAAACAATACCAAAATAAACAATATTTGGTTAATAAGTAGTTGGGAGAACATTTTTTTGTGATATCTGACAATTTGCCAGAGTCGCATATGAGGACTGACATGTAAAATTGCAAACTCCCGTTCATATCTTGTCCGAGCAGAATTTTTGAAGAATTTTATTTATTTCCGTCCTTTGCCCATCGTCGAAAAAAACAAAAACAAAACACAAACCAAAAAAAACCACCACGCTCTAAGATGGATGCCCACTCCTACATGTCCCTCACTCAGACACACTGAGGAGCTCTTATCCCAGAGCCCAATAATGCAGTCAGTGTGAAGCCAGGATTAAATGCTTCCTGTGTCTCTTTACAGCCTTAGTTGACTCATTACCTTCCTCCTAAGGTTAATGTTTGATCAGGGTGTAGATGGCAAGCCAGAAATTCACAGAGCTTCACTCTTCTCACTCTCTGGCACCACAAAACACCGGGTGTCTTTGGGCAAGTGCTTCATGGGGTGAAGGAAGTGGATGCTTGATATTGGGTCTACATTTCTTTGCAATCACGTCACATATTCCGTGGTGGAAATAGTTCCACAATCACCTGAATTAAAAAAAGAATGTGTGGGTTTGAACACCTCCGCTTTTTTATGTTGATACACCTTTGTTTAGGAAGTTGTCCTGACTGACAATTTGGATTGAAGCCTGAGCACGTTATTTTAAGAGCCTGAGTCTAAATTATCCACTCATCAACGAATAGTTGAATTTGAGAATGCCAAACCCCAAATATGTGGGGGTCCACTGTATTCTGAAGCCGAGTGCTTGTGCTACACCAGATATTGCAAAAGACAAATTCATACATGTGTTAGTGCCTTCCCGCACATACGCACAACAGTCAAGCCACAACATAGCTGAGCGCAACAACAGTTGACGATGATTTCAGTTTGAAAAGATGAGTGACTGAGTAGCCTTTGTTGGGTCTCTGGACTCCTGAGGGTCCGCAAAATAAATAGCATTAATCTCTGGGTATCATGACAAAAAGTGCATTATTACATATGGAAAACACTGTTGCCAATATAACAAATGATACAGTAAATGAGTAGCTTACTTATATTGATATTGGGCCCTTGTCTTGGCACATCGCCAGAGGCGCGGTCATTTCCTAGTAGTCTCTCACTACCACGAAGAATGTTATTTATATTTGTCAACTACATGCTACGCAAAACCCAAACCAGATATACAGAAACTCGAGCGATGTCTACGGGTTGGCCATCGAGAATCAAGTGGAGCCGGGACTAACATTTCGGTTTGCCCGGAATCTAAAATTTCAATGCCTTCGTTTGCCGCATGAAAGTCGCCGAACATGAATCAAGGAGGGCCATTTGGAAATGTGTGTGTGCGCAGTGCACACTAATGTGCCAGGCACAAAGGAAGAACCACGTGGAAGTTCGTGCTCGATGCTCGCCAGCTGCGATAACTGATACTCCTCGGCGCAGATGACAAGTGTGGCTGAACTTTAGAAAAATTATAACAAGAATGAAAAGCCAGTCTTCTGCCTCGTGCAACACGTCATAAAATAATATCAAAGGGGATTGCACTTCAACCTTCCTGTGCTTCCTCTAACTTCATCTCCGACCGTCAGCCTGGTACCAAACCGATACATTTAATCCCAACATTTAGCCAACAAGGTAAACTGGAACTTAAACACCAGATCAACACTCAAATACAAATACCTGACACAGCATACGCATGCCTGCATAGTTATACAGATGCACCATTTTCCTTGTGTGCCCCCCCTCAAATACAGCTTTGTTTTTGTCATTGTTTTTCCTTTTTTTGTTTCTGTAGAAACACGCCACTAGGTTCAGTTAGCCCATCAGTGTTCAGTAGCATGCTGCATTGTTGTATTTTCTTGAGGTTTTTCATCCCCAAAATAGCTCTTGTTCTCTCCTTTTTTGAGCTAAGTACAATTGAATCACCACTGTTAGCTTTTTGTAATGCATATTAGCACATTTAACTTCTTAAAAAACAAATGACCGGTACACCATTTTTAGTAGTCACATAGTACAGTATAGGGAGAAACATGATGTATCACGATGCATTGAAATATACTTTGAGCTGATTAAGGCTGGGTGATTTTGGAAATAATAATAATCACGATTATTTTGATTGTAATTTAAATCACAATTAATAAAAATGATTATTCAGTGATTCACAAACTTGGTATTTTCTATTCACCTACCTAAAACTACCATCATAGCCTTGCTCCCAATCATCCTGGCACGTTGAACACTTTATTCTTGATCACTCACTTATTTTTGTCATGTACAAAATGAGCTTCTATCGTGTGAAATTCAACCCTCTTGCAGTTTCATTCTGCTACAGCCACACCTTTGCTGCAACACATCATTCCACACATTTAAGCCATGAATAAACACATCCCCCTATCTCTTTATCGTACTTATATTATCAATATTTTGTTCTATTTTTATTAGGGATGGTATCAATACCGGGTATCGATGCCGATACCAGCCTTATTTTAAGGTATCGGTACTCATGGACTCTTGTATTTAAATATACAGTGGGTGTCACTAAATAGCTTAAAGCATGCTCAGGCAGTGCAGAATCGCATAACGTCACACGCTTGCTGTACAAGCAACATGGTGTATTCAGGGTACATGCAAAATGCTTTTTTTCTTTGATTATAATGTTTCTAAGAGCAAGAGAAGCCAGCATAGAAATACAGTAACTATTAAATTTAGATTGATTTCTCAGACCTTTGGCCCATCACCGTAATCGACCTGAAATTGATCCCGTTCACGATTCTCAAACAAAATCGCCCAGACCTAATCTGAGTTGGAGTCCAATTGAATGGTGAATTACAAAACGGATTCCCACGCCTGCCTTTCAGACATTGATGTATTGACCTGCTTATTGATGTGACAAGTCAGACAGGCAGACAGGCAGACAGGCAGACAGGCAGACAGACAGACAGACAGACAGACAGACAGACAGACAGACAGACAGAAACTTAACATGGTTGTTGTCCGTGCAGGATGCATTTGAATGCATCCAACTCATTGTGGAATTGTAGGCTGCAGACAGAGTGGTGGATTTGATGTTGCTTCTCAAGAGCACTTGCTGACATGCATGCAAAGCTGAAATTTAGCAGGATTTTAGGAAATCGGTGCAGTGATGAGTTTGTTTGCAAAGAGCGGGGATATTTGAAATGCTACTTCCAATGTGAGGCAGACTGACATGCAGTCATGACTCATTGTTGCGGGCTACAGCAGCTCTGCTTGCTATCCGTGTGAACTCGTCATCCAGCCCACTCAAACTCACACCATCTCCTGCATATAGATTCCAATGCAGGAATTCTATTTCGTTCCCGCTGTGAAGTCAACACAAATTTAACAAAAAAGTGACGAGTTCCCGTCCCGTCTTTGCTTGCTCCTGACAGTTTTTGCGCCATTATCCCAAATAAGCTTCATGAGCATGTCATCTTTGTTTTCTTGAGCGCAGAGCAGCACCTACACCTAAGTCCACCTTGTAAAATTTTACACATGCAAAATATTGTCTTGCACCAGCTTCATGTATGGTATGTGAAAACATACAGTACGTTAATAATAGAAACATTTTTGTACAGGTTGCGCTCATTATATAGGAATTATTTTTCATCAGTGCAAGCTAGGGATGGGCATTTGAATACATTTTACGATAAACTATGGAAAATTACTGACATAAACTGAGACAACATTGTCAGCACAATTGATGAATAATGTAATCAAATCAATAAAAATGCATAGCACAAGATGGTTTTCGTTCTAGTGAACTCACAAACCTGAGGGCGAAGGGGTGAAACAAGGGCTGAGAAGGTCGCATTCTTACTGAACAACTCAAAGGAAGCCATCAATCCATTCACTCTGCCGCTCATCTAAATCTGTTTAATCTATTTAATCATGCCAGCCTTAACTTTTAAGCAATATTGAATCGACTACTATTCCATGAGGACATTTGTTGTAAATAAGGGCAAAAGTTGTGACTTTCCTGTTTTCACACCGCGTCACTCAGTTCATTTATTTGGGACAATTTCTACACGGCCCCCCCATTTTGTTATTTCACTCCTGTGGCGACCAGGCCTCCTTTAAGCACCAGCAAAGTACACCACATTACAATCTCTCTTCGGGAACCTCTTGCTTGTTGAAAAATCCACAGCTGAAAAGGCTGAAAGGAGCATCATCACCATCCAGTGTTCAGAGGCAGTCGCAGTTTCGCCAAAGAACAATTTTTTTTTTAACAGGGTACATGTTAACTGTGATGTGTGAAAAAAGGGAGACCACACTCTGTCAGTAACCTCATATATTTATGCATGTGGTCAGGGAGGGTAGCAACTCCAGCTGCTGCCTGTTTAAAATAAACAGTTAGTGTAAACTGAAAATATTTTTTGGGAACAACGTTGGAGGGTTTGTTGTTGTGTAGGAGTGTGAGTAGGTTAGGCTTATTATTTGCCATCCTGCCACGCATATTGATTTGACATTGTCCTATTTCAGTCTCAACAAAGCTGCTTTTTGATGTGCTGTAGCCTTGAGGAGGGTAACATCAAGTCTTTATTCCAAGAAATAATGTTTTAGGACGAGGTTGCCAGCAAACCAGAAAAATGTTATCTTTTTATAAACGCGGTGCATGTTTTTCTTGTACTCCTTCATAATGTCACCTGTCTTTGTATTTCCAGGCACAAATTGCCTTCTTACAAGGAGAAAGGAAGGGCCAGGAAAATCTGAAAAAAGATCTTGTGCGGAGGATCAAAATGTTGGAGTATGCGCTGAAGCAAGAGAGGTGAGTGACATCACTATCGCGGCTTCAGCCCTCCCACAGACATGTTGCATCTTTTCTTTACCTCTAAAATACCTTTTCGCCCAGAGAAAGGCGAGAAAAGATGTGGTAGTACAGTCATCAGTCAACATCTCCGTGGGTGTTTTGCATTCGAGTGCTTTCATCAGCAAGTTGCATTCATGACGATAAATGTTAGCATTTTAAGATAAATGTTAGCATTTTAAGAGTGCGCACAGTCAGGAGTCATTCGCATTGCGCTTACACAAGTACGATGTCAACAGATTCAGCAGTGGCGTGAGATGCTCTTGGGTTTAGCTGTCTGATGTCTCAGGGAGCATGTTGGCAAAAAGGTCACGTTGGCATGTCTTAAAACATGCAAAAAATGAGGACAAGAATGGAGAATTCTTTTTCCAGACGAAATGAGGTCAACGCCATAGCTTTCCCTCGTCTGAGAGATTTTGTTTTCATTCTCATGTGCTCCAGCTCGTCGCCATCTCACTTGTACCAACTTGATGCTGGTGTTGCCGATTGTTTAGCCATTGAGCAGCTTCTCAACCTATTTCTGTCGCCATCATTGCTCTCTTGACTGGCTTTGGAAACAGCAGATACGCTTGACCTAATGGATGTTTGGCTTGGGTGTAGCACATTTTTTTCAGATAGCTAGTTTTTCCTCCTTTCAGGAGCGCATAACACAAACTGAGTATTGTAAAGCCCAATCTTTTTCGGCGGATTTGGAACATCTGATACTTTCCTAACTGTTTAAGATGTCGGCCATTTAACGACTCTGCAATGCTTTGTCTTATTTTGACCCATCCCACTGCGATCTCGGAGCACAGGAATTCAAAGACTGTGTGTTTCAAACAGTCCGCTGTATTCTATTGACTTATTTCTGCCTAGACAGAAGAAAGTAGGCAGTCCCTCAATGTTGCCCGGGCCACATTTGTGATTTCTGGGAACGTAGTCACAAGTGGTCCTGACCACTTCAAATTGTTGTCTGATTGATCAGATTCCCCCTGCCCGTCTGTCTCCCCGAATGTCTTAACTTTACCTTGACCTGTCGATTTGTGGCCAGTGTTTGTGAGTGTTAACAATTTAACTAGAGCGAAGTGTTGTTCTGATTTCCTCAGTCAGCTCAGATGTCACTTGCACTGTACCTTCCTCTCCAGTCTTTCAAGCATGGGATTGTCCTCTAGCTCTTTTTAATGCGTAGTTATCCACTTTTGCCTTGCGAAAGAGCACACGTCTGCCTCAGGAGAAATGCTTGGAACCCAGAATTACTACTACTTCCCACTGGTTGCTAGGCAACCACTCACATTACCAAGAACATTTTAAAAACAGTGTGAGATTTTTATGAGGGGAGCTTCTTCTGGATGGGGGCTGGAGTCACGAGCTGAAGCCGTGTGAATTGAAAGGTGTTCAATTAATCTTTGTACCGAGCCGCCTCTGCTGGTACATTTGCAACCAAGTGTTGATAACAAGTTTTTTTTTCTTTGATTGTTACTTTGTACATGTTGCATATTACAATATTAGCAAATTCGAAAATAAAAAAAATGAAAACTTCCACCTACAGTATGTGATATCAATTTGCATGATCTTTTTTGGACACATTTGAAATGAAGGCTAAATTATATTTTTTGATGGTCTGAAAAGTCAAGTGAATATGCAGTGGCCTTCAAAGAGGTTGACTTGCAAATGTGTCTAATCCAATTGTTGAGCTGTACACCTTCTGTATTTGTTTTACTTCCAGAGCAAAGTATCATAAGTTAAAATACGGGACTGACTTAAATCAAGGTGACATGAAACCTCCAAGCTACGATTCCGGTAAGTTTGCGATCACCTCCACCTGCTCTTCTGAATTACTGTTATTGTTGTGTTCACATACCTTTTCGTGACATCACCGTTTTGCCTGTCAAGGCTTCACTCATGTCAGATCTTGTTTGCCTCCATAGTTTTCTTTTGTGTCCTGTCTTGACTGATGAAATGGTGCATGCCGATGTTAATACTGCAAACATTATTTCGAAACTACTCTTTTGTAACAGAATGTTTTCAATCGATGAACCTGTTCATTTCAACAAGCTGTACATCTGCTGCCTTCATCCACCCCTCCATATTTTTTATTACCACTTACCCTTACTAGGGTCACAGGAGAGCTGAAGCCTATTCCAGCTGGCTTTGGGTGAGAGGCGGATTACACCCTGGAATGGACACCAGCCAACCATAGGCCACATTTAGGCAAACAACCAGTCCTAGTCACATTCACACCTAGGGACAATTTATAGTCTTCAATGACCCAAACATGCATCTTTTTGGAATGTGGGAGGAAGCAAATGAGGAATGTGGGAGGGAAGACAACCCACACAAGCACAAGGAATACATGTAAACTCTGCACAGGAAGACCGGAACTGCGATTTTAATCCAGAATTGCAGTACTGTGAGGCAGATGAGCCAAATTCGATTTCACTGTCTGCTCCCCACTTGGTTTTCAATTAAACTTACAGTATTTCTGCAAAGGAGCTGGAAAGTTAAATTCCAAGGTGGTCTTTAACATCGGCATGCTAATTAAACTGCGTTAGCACTTAAAGCTTTGTTTCCCCAGCGTAAATATAAAAAAAGAAATGTGCTCGTCTTGGTGGGTCTTTTCATTGGTTTTTCATGTTCAAGTCTTTCGCCAACATCAAGTCATACATTTTGACGATTCCTCTCTTATTTCCTCATCGAGTTTCATGAGCACATTTCAAAGCTCCTCAGCCCTTGAAGTGCCGATGCAGGCGGGAGGTGAGAGAAGATGTGTTAGGTCGTGGGGGGGTAGGTGGCGAGGGTTGAGACGAGTGGGAAGTGTTGCTCATATGGTGACACAGCTGCCAATCGTTCACCTGCTGGACATGTGACCCACTACTTCAAACTTGCATCATTTGACGCCACAACTCCGGGCCACTGTGACACATTCAAATGTTTAACGTGCGTCTGGCCCATACTAGGTTCTCAGCTGACTCGCAAATGGAGTGTGAACGTAGATGAATATCACACTGGGCTTCGAGTCCCCTCATTATCAGAGCGACATTTAAACAGTTCTGGATGCATTATGTAAGGCATAAAATGTTGGCCAAACTGTAGTGGTCATTAAAAATAAAGTGGCTTGTTCAAGCATCAAGAAGTACAGATATTAATCAAGAAAGATACATTCTGAAGTCAATCACAATATATAATTAAATAATTGATCGGTAAATTCTGTTGACAAGTAACTGATAGCTGAGTTTGTGTCGTTGCTACAATGTGGTGAAGAATGTTGTGATGGAGTGTAGATATTATTAGGCCATGCTTTTTGTGGAGCACTGATTTGTGTTGTCCTCCTTTTCTCCAGACGATACGAATGAGAATGACACTTCTGGATCGCTGAACAATCAGCTGTCCTGGAAACAAGGCCGGCAGCTCCTCAGGCAGTAAGAACATTAACAGTATCTTTATACTTTCCTAGTAATCATTTCTTTATTTGGCTACAAAACATAAGAAGTGTGACTTGATTACCTGGCTGTTTGGAATGCTTTCTGGTGCATATGTTTGGCTGATCTCATGCTAATTACAGTTGGTGCACGATGGTCTACTTTGTCAGCAGTAATGAGGCCCAAAAACGTGGACAGGAGCTCCCTCACATGGGCAACATAGTCATTAACTGCTGCGTCTTTTTTGTAACTTCCTATTATAGTTTCATGTCTGTTTTTATGAAAGTAAAAAAAAAAAAAATTTAACTCATTATATGTTAAACTCTTATGCTACAATCAAAATTATTTTCACTGCACTTCCAAAAAAAAGCCACCAAAATAAAAAGATGTCATAGTTCAACAAATGAAAAATCCAATTTGATTAAAATGGTAAATGGAGTGCACTAATTATCAGTGTATCATCTACATTATACGCGAACTACCCAAAGAGCTTTCCACTCACATACACTTATGTGATGAACTGTTAAGTGTAGCGGGAATGCGCTGGTGACTGTCTGCTGGTTTTTTAACTCCTAAAATGCCAACGTTAACAATCCAGGTGGATTAATGTGCCTCGTAAATCCCTGTGAAAACCGAAACCAAGTTGTTTGACCTGAGGTAGTTATTCCATTTTGTGTCTAAATATCCAGACATTTCAGGCAGAATACAGTATATGTAGCGTCACCAGTGTATTTAATTTGCTATGTCACGTTACGTCTGTTCCCTTATCATTTTGTAAGTGATAAACTTCGGTGGAGGTATTTACAATGTTCATGTCTGTTATGTGGTCCCTCAGCTCTGTACAATGTGATCCTTCTCTCCATTCCCCATACTGCAGCCTCTCACATCATCTGCCTCGCATGCTGATCGATCAGGCAACCCATATTTCTTGATGAGCAAAGTGCTAATTTCAGCAGCGTAAGATGCTGTTAATCACATTTGTGCTAGTCGACGAAGCACATTCGACAGTAGCAAGAATCTCTTTCTCCATCTCTGATCCCATCAATGTCAGTGCAACATTTTTTTTCCTTGTCATCATCTCTGTTCCGCCAAGACATGTCTTTTTTTTTTTTTTTTTAATGCAGCACCATCAACTCAGTCGGCAGGTCATCCTTTGTCACGGTTACATTTTTCCTACAACAACTTATTTAACTTTTGTATTTGTCACTTTCTAGGTACCTGCAGGAGGTGGGTTACACCGACACCATCTTAGATGTGAAGTCACAGCGTGTGCGAGCGCTGCTGGGCCTAGCTGGCGATGGAAGTGGGAAGACGGTTGAACATATGAATACGGAGCCTTTGGTAAATGGAACAGACGCATCAACAAAGGGAATGGGGACTAGAGGGTAAGTTCTTTCTACAGTCCTTTCTGGCTGTTAAGTGAGTACAGCATCCATAAGTATTTCAGCAGCCGTTTTGGGTAGTTCAGTGGGCATCCCCACCATCCAATTCCTCTCGTTTCTCATAAGAAGCTGGTATGGACTATGACATACTACAGCAGAGTAGTAGTAACCTCAATCAAATGAATAGTACTCACATAGTTCGTAATTTCTTGATTGTAAATCTTATTGTAAGCATTCACACTCTTAACTCTTGTATTGTGTTCGAAAGCTGTTCTCATCTGAAAACGGGTCTATTCGGATTCATACTCGACAGGAAAGCTGAGCTGTCGTCTGACACAAGCGCTGTACTGGAGGCCTTCAAGTTCATCGAGAATGCGGCAGCTGAGTTCAGTGATGACGATGATGAAGAGGACAGTGAGGGCAAGGACAGGACTAATGTGGAGTCCAGAACGGTAAAATAATAGCTACACCTTCACTTGCTAAAACTGGGTTATAGCGTGACGATTTATATTTGATCTTTCTCTATGTACCCTGCAGATCATTCGGAAGAAGCCATCATCGTCAACGCCGCCAGCCAGTATGGACATTAGTGAGGACCCAGACACAGAAGATGCCCTTAAGGGCTTCGACTTCTTATCAAGTCCCGACGAGATGGACATCTCACCAGAGTGTCGCGGCACAGGGGATGGCACTGACTGGGGTGAGTGTGTTGGAAGTGGCAGCATAATGTACAAAATAAATAAAAACAGCTTCTAAAACCTGAAGAGATTGCTAATTGTTTCAACATTGTAATTTGACTTGAAACGTGATTTCCTAACACTTTTCATTCATTTGTCTTGTGTACATAAATCACAACTAATGGAGTTAATCTCATATTGTGTGATGTCATCCACTCCGTGTGTTCCCGTAGCTAGCCTGTGACTAGAGTGTGTCTCACATCCTGTGCCTTTAATCAGTCTGTTTGTCTTCCACTGGTCCTCAGACTAAAGCCAGAAAAAAATGGGCTCAATATTATACTGAGCTGTTTCTTGATAACGGGTCCTGGTTTGTGCCAGTGTTCAGAATTTTGAATTTTTGGGCATTTCGGCATGCTTGGAACGAAAACCCATCTTTGTGGTCTTTAAAGGACAATTATAGGACATCTAAATTCAACGTCTTTAACTGTATATTCGTGGACATATTTGGAAAGACTGAACAGTCTGCAGCTAGTAGTCTGCAATATTGACTTTATTTTGTTTTCTACGCAGAAACGCATTTGCCTTTGGAAATGTAGAGTTAATCCCATAAAACGCAAATTCTCAGTTTGAAGTCTGTCCACTTGTTGTGCACTCTAAAGCCGACACGCTGGGCATCCAATAATAAAATGATCCTTTTTGTGTTCAAGGTATCTATTACAAATCCAAATTAAAACATTCACGGCATGCAAAGAACCAGAAACAATACCTCTAAGATGAGAATGAGCTCTTTCAACGAGGAGACGCTCATGTGTACATGCTGTCTACCGTGAGCCTTGAGTAACCTCCAAAGTAGGAGGAAATGGAGAGACAGCTCTGTATATGCTCCACCATGCCAGGCCTTTTTAGGCTCACCACTTGGCAGTTCCTCAACAGCCTCTCGGTTTGGTTTTGTCCCCCCTATGTAGACAAGGACGAGCACGGTCCCATTTCTGAGGCCTGGGACGTGGACCCGGGCTTGATAACCAAACTCAAGGAGCAGTACAGAAAGGAACGCAAGGGGAAAAAGGGGGTGAAGAGTAAGTCCTGCCAGGCGTTGCTGCCTCCCTTCTTCTCTCTTTGTAGAGCTTCACTTTCTTGAGTTCCGTCAAAAGCTCCAATCAAATGCCCTTTAATTGGCTTTGCTCTGACTTATTCTTGTCTGTCATTTCATCCTGAATAGTTTCTGTCCTCTGTGCTGCGCATTCCAAATGTGTGCCCTTTCCTTTTCCTCGCTCACTGCATGTTGTTCTGTCCCGCTCTAATGCCACAGATATCACGAAAGGTGGTTCATCTGCGTACCAAGTCATCACCACAGCCTGTTTGTTACCGCACTGCTTTCTGCAGTGATAATAATGTCATTATCACCATTACCACCATCATGGTTTGTCAGCCTTGATGCTTGTGTTACATTTGCAGCTCTTCGCAATTGTCTCAACCGCTCAAACTCTCAGGGAAATGCACTTAAGTCGTGATAGTCTACTTCATTCTGCAATTTTTTTTCTTGCTGTGATTGAATGAAGAAATTAAGGCCATTCGCATTCTGCCTCATTTCGTCCAGTGCTACTTTTATTACTTCTCTGATTTCGCACAGATTAGTTTTACACTTCAATCTGTGGCCGAAGTCAAAGTAAACAGATGTACAGATGCTATGTGTGATACAGTGTTAAAGGAGTTGTATTGTGCATTTTTTTTCACAATTTATAACAGTTGTCAGGGGGTTTGATAAGGTTCCTGTCACATGTTTTTGACCCAAAATGAAGAATTATATCATATTTTACATATCTTATTTCTTGTCTTGCTAAAATTAGCCAGTTTTGAGGGGGCAGCCCTGTCCTACACAAGTGAGTGCTTTTCACCCTGCCCTATATCCTGCAGGGCCAATGGTGGGTAGGGATTTCGTTACCATGACGACCGGGGATGAAGCAAGTGGGCTGAATGAGGCCATCTGCTCCTACTTGCGGAAGCAGAGCCCTGAGTCTGAAAAAAAAATTTGCGAACGTAAAGACAATAATTGAATTAATTACTACTATTTGAATTAGCCCCACTGTTGCAAAAAATAAAATAAAAATAGTCAGCTGATGGAAATTGAGAATGGCTCGCTCAAAGACATATTTTCAGAGATTGGTCAGGCACTCCTGAAACCCCAACTATTTATAATGCAAGCAATTTAAAAGGCAATTGTTTTTATAGCTTGTCCCCATTAGTTAAAATGTATATCCATATTGTTTTGGGCTCCCATTCACACAAGTCTACATTTAATGACAAAAGTACCTCAGCCACCTTCCTGCCTCTTGAATTAAAAAGGCTGTGCTGCTGACTTGCATTCCGTCATTTGTATTGTTTCTGCATCCCCGAATTTTATTGCCTTTCAGTGATGCATTTCCCTCCTTTTCATGTTTAATTTCTTTACACTCTGTGTTTTCACTCATGGTTCTTGTTAACACTCTTCATGGGATGCTTTAAACAGGACCTAACCGGTCCAAGCTCCAGGACATGCTGGCTAATCTGAGAGATGCTGAGGACGTGTCCCACATGCAGCCTCCATCCACCCCCCAATCCCGATCCAACGTGGTACGCTTCAATGAGCTCGACGGCAACCGAGCAGATGAAGGTCAGCAAGAATTAATAAGTATTTTCGTTTCTACCTGCCAGTTATGTCTCACCCTGCTGTAATTTCCTTCACCATTGTGATGACTCCAGCTCTCTATTTATTTTTAGTGGAGGCGCTGACCTTCCCGCCCACCTCAGGGAAGTCGTTCATTATGGGCTCCGATGAGGCCATGGAGAGTGAGCTGGGCCTGGGCGAGCTAGCCGGGCTCACTGTAGCCAACGAGGCTGACAGTCTGGCGTACGATGTAAGTAGGAGGCAGCCAAAACTTCCACAAGGCCATCATTATGGTCACAGTGATTTCTGAGTATGATGATTGAAGCTTAGAGTTTAACACACTGACCGTGTTTCTCTAATATGCAGCGTTCACATCATATAGCCAAAATTCACAAAAATCTCAAGCTTCTATTTTCACTCTCAGAGAGAAATAGATTTGATAGTGCATTTGAAGAAATGCTGGGAAAGTTGGTGGCCATGCGGTCAGTAACTTGAGGCTATCAATTGAAATAAGGCCTATATGTGGGGCTTTTTCCAGTCCCTTCTTTTTTTATTCTACATGAAGAAATATAGCTACAATGCTTTTCCATGGACAATCACGGCATGTCGTTTGCGGTTCAATAAAATAATATAGGTGGTGCTCCAAAATGCTGGTTCTTGATTTAAAAAGAAAAAAACATAAACAAAAACACCAGAGTCCACATGATTTTGTTGCAGCGATATCAGGATTGGTGATAGGTATGCTAGGTAATTTGTTCTGCCTAGTTCAGATGCCTTGCTCAGCGTGCAGCTGGCTTTATCTCATGTCAGGCATACGCAAGCCCCTGTTTTTTTTTTTTTTTTAATTCAGCGCATTTTCACACTTCGGTTCACAATTGTGCCATACTGTTGAAAGTTCTTGACCAGAGACTATTTCCTCAGATTGGCAACAACAAAGATGCCATGAGAAAAACCTGGAATCCTAAATTCACCCTGCGGAGCCATTTTGATGCCATTCGAGCACTGGCCTTCCATCCCGTGGAGCCCGTCTTGGTCACTGCCTCAGAGGATCACACCCTCAAGATGTGGAATCTTCAAAAGACAACTCCAGCCAAAAAGTAAGAAGATGCGACATGCTGGAGAAAGTGACACTTGTGTTTGTTGAGATACTTTCTTTCCATTGGGTTGACTCAGGCATCTGCGGGGACTCGTTCTCGCTCATTAAAGTGATTTCGCAGCGCAGCTCTGTCACACACCCACACATATTTCACTGGGCGTCATTCAGAGTAAACACTTCTGGGTCAGTACAACTTGTTAATCTGCAGTTTTATAATGTCAAGAGATGCCAACTCTGATCATCGCCTCTCAGGAACATTCTGGTTATTTTGTCAGGAACATTTAGATTCAACCAAAACAAACTCATAGCACCAGAAAGACTCAGAAGAACACTCATGCATTCTAGTTTTTCTCTAAATACTGATTTGCTATTCATCGTTGGTTATTCTCCGTCATTACAAACGCGGTTCCAACAAGTGTTGTATGAAAATTGTACTGCAGGTAGCATCAACCATTTATCCCGGCGATTCCTGAATACATTTAGCAATAGTTTAGCATGGCTAAGCATTCGCCTCTCTTCTTCTTGTCCTCCTTTCTCGCAAAAAATGTTTGTCAGAAGTGTCGCTTATTCGCTGCCATGGAGGTGATGTTTTTTGACTTTTGGAGGAATCTCTACTGTTTTGCCACTATGCTAGCCAGCTCCCTGTAGCTATGGAGCAGCAAAGCTAATTTTATACACAGAGGAAGATGATATGACGTCACAAACATCATTGCGATGAATTGATTGGTCGAGTCCAAAATCTTATGTCAGCCAATCACAAACCACGGTAGCCACAGACTCACTTGAAAACTCCCAAGTTAATCCACATCACATGTTGTTCAGTCCTCTCCAGAATATTTTCAACCTCCCAGTGACAGTGGAACACGTAGCAACTGCACGTAACGAAATACGGCCAAACCTGAACGTTTGGCATCTCTGAATGTCATACAAGTGAATGTCACATGATTAGTTAAATATTTTTTTTGTTCGCAGGAGTACCTCTTTAGATGTGGAGCCAATCTACACGTTCAGGGCCCACAGGTACAATTAGTACTCTCACACAAAAACATGTTTTTAGTGATGCCAGACAAACAGTTTAACATCTGATCATACTGTAACCCACAGGGGTGCTGTGTTGAGTGTGGTCATGAGCAGCTCTGGGGAGCAGTGTTTTAGCGGAGGGGTGGACGGCACCATCCAATGCTGGAACATGCCCAATCCCAACATTGATCCCTACGATTCCTATGGTAACCTAGGCATGAATTTTGTGATCAAATAAATACATTTGACAGTGGAACTGAGTGGGTGAATTGAGTTTTTTGGTGTGTAATAGACTCAACAGTGCTGCGTGGGGAGCTCTGTGGACACACAGACTCCATTTGGGGCTTAGTGTACAGCAGTGCACATCAGCGTCTCCTTTCCTGCTCGGCTGATGGGACTGTGAGACTGTGGGATGCCAACAGCACTTCACCAGCCCTCGCTGTTTTCAACGAAAATAAGAGTAATCCTTCCACTCCCGTAACTGAGAGTTATCCGTGGTGCTTCTTTTTGTGTAACCTATGGGTGCTTATGTTTGCATCAGAGATGGGAGTTCCCTCCTCGGTGGACCTGGTGTGCAGTGAACCAGCTCACCTGGTCACGTCCTTCACGAGTGGGGAGATTGGACTCTTCAACATGGAAACTAGTCAGCTTGTCCTCAATTTGGAGTCCAGTTCGGAGCAAGGTCTGTTTGGAAAAAGCGTATATGTGCTTGATTGAAACTGAACAAGGTTTTCTTATCTTATCTTAATTTTAACAGAAGATAAATATGTTGAGTGTCTCATCTTGCAAGGCCTGGTTTATTACAGCTTACCTTCACTACTTACCGTTCGTTAATTTCTGCTTCAGTCTCTCACACGGTTTTCATTTGTGACCATAACCTCATCTGTTACAGGTTTACCTTGCTATTTCAAGTTTTCTTGCTGTTTTTCTTCCTTCTCAGTCAGATCATTCAAAAAAAAAAAAAGTTTTTTTTTTTTTTCGAAGGGATATTTGTTTTACAAAAACTGAGACAATTAGGCACTCGTCACCCCCATAATCCCTCTTCCCTCAACGAGGGTGCATTTGGAAAGACACTCAAAGCGCATTTCTTCACTCAACTGTGCCTTTCGGGTATTCTGAGTGCCCCAAAAAGCAGAGTGCTGGAGCCCAGTGTGTCAGGCAGGACAGTACAAGGAGGGTAAACAAATGAAGCACGATCTTCTAATTATAGGCTGCATTCAGAAATGAATGTGAGCGGCATGCACTCTGCCTCCGGCAGCACACGAGGATGATGAAACGTCCATTTAATAACAAAGTTTGTTTTTTTTTCTTTTTAGTTTAAAATGGCTTGCCTTAACCAGAATCCTGTGTTGCGTTGTAAAGAGAGCTATACTCCTGTTGGTTTAATATGCTTAATAAAGAAGAATCTGTGCCTGAAGTACAGACGTAGAAGACAGTAGACACGGCAACAATCTTTCAGTTTCCACAAGAAAGATTTAGTGTTCATTTTGCATTTTACACGTTACGTTTATTAAGTGGAACAAGTGTTTAGAAGGGTAGGAAACGGGGCTGTCATTGGACCGGCCCAGGCCGAACTGCCATCAATCATGGCACGGAATTACGAGGTCGACATGGCTCGGGGCGCGGGCGTTGTAATTTTGGCCATGTCATTTACATATCGAAGCGTTTCCTGATTATCCTCGCATTCCCAAGCTCATAAGGGGCTTCCACTAGCTCCAATTTTACACCAGCTTTGAGTAGATATTTGCTCCCCCAACGCAGCGTATGGCTGTCAGCGCTGGTGTTAGTGTATTAGACATTGTTCATCAAAGAGGTTCATTTGCGTAGTGATGGGCAATTCAGCCGCAAATGAAATTCATTTTCAGGAATAGATAAAAATAGTAATTATCTTGCAATGTAGATGTAATATCACAAACAATTAAAGGATGCCTAATGGGAAAATTTGTGGTCATTTACACGCATATATTTCTATTCCCACATTAATGCGTCTTTGTGCTGTGCTAGGTCCTCCTATTCACATCAACAAGATCCTCAGCCACCCCACGCTACCCATCACCATCACAGCACAGGAGGACAGACACATCAAGTTCTTTGACAACAACACTGGCAAACTGATACACTCTATGGTGGCCCACCTGGATGCCGTCACCAGCTTAGCTGTGGACCCCAACGGACTGTATCTGATGTCGGGCAGTAAGTGTCTTAACTGGGGGTTAATAGAAATAATCCCATTCCCATGACAGAACAATTACTGACAAGCAATGAAAGAATAAACACCACTCGTTAGCATGCAGTGTAGCAGCGCAGCATTACAACTCGAATCATTTCTGGCACAATAAAAGCCTTGTATTTGGAAAGGCAAGATTATTCTGTGGTCCCTGTTTTATGATGATTCCTCTCACCACCAAAGACGATACAGCCCGAATTTGAAATACAGCCAATCACAGGACACACATAGACAAACATTCGTGCTCACAATCCCACCTAGAGACAGTATAGATATAGAGCATTTAATCAACCTACCCAGCAAGGAAACCGGAGTACCTGGAGAAAACCCGCACAGGGACGGCATGCAAACACAGGAAGGCCAATTCATAACACAAATTTCAGAATTTATCGCCAACCTATGTTGACATTCTAATTACAGTCACCACACGGATAGGGAAGCACTTAACGCCCATAAGATCCAAAATATTGGAATGATTATTTTGATATCATCAGAGTTTGATGTAGGCATATGAATTTTGGTGACTCATGGTCATTGTTTTCTAACAGTAAGCTTTTGATCTATTGTGGAAGAAAATTGCTAAATGCCTATAAAATCCCAAATCCGGTGACGGTTGGTTTGGTATGTTCACGGGTTGATGTGGGCATGACTAGAGATGTGCACTTGATTTTTGATAACGATAGTTTGTAGTTTTCTGACACAAGCTTTTTTTGAGTGTTTTCGTCTGTCCCCACAAAGAAGGTCCCACAGCTGTTCACTTTAGTTGCTGTGCAGTTTCCCTGTTGCACTTGACAATGTGTTGATTCTGACAACTTTTGTCCAGGTCACGACTGTTCCATCCGCCTGTGGAACCTAGAGAGTAAAACCTGCATTCAAGAGTTCACAGCTCACCGAAAGAAGTTCGAGGAGTCCATTCATGATGTGGCTTTTCATCCGTCAAAATGCTACATCGCCAGCGCCGGGGCAGACGCCCTCGCCAAGGTGTTCGTATGACACAGTGCGGCGTCTCTCTCCGAAGCCCCCTCCACCGCCTCCGCCTCCACTGATCAGGGACCAATCGAGGCACAGGAGGGGAACCCGACCTTCAGGCACTGGTCCAAGCCCACCCCCTACCGCCCACTGGTTTTCTATCGGTCCGGCAGACACTGTAGCTGCTAACAGGCCGGGGATCTCCACGTGCAGGTCGGGCTGGGAGAACTGTCCTCCTCCCCCTCTCATCTAACATCCAGGCAGGCCTGGATGTGACCGCTCACAGCGCCCTACACCAACTCAGACTTCACCTCCACAGCCAGGAGGCTCAGGACAAGTGTGAGGAGTCAAAAAACACGGTTCCGAGACGCATTTTTGCCCCGCGACGTCAGCCCGCATCCCTCAGGCCCTCTCCTCCCCATCTAACGGTCACCACAAGATCAGGTTTTGTGTTGTCGGTCAAGATTCACTTCTCCTTCGCTTCCTGGACTGACTGACTCCGCTTGCTGGCCTGCCTTGATTTTCCTTTTTAAAACACTTGTTGACAAATGTGCCTTTGCTTTAAAAGGCCTTGGAAATGTTATTTTAACAAGGTTGTTTTGGGGGAGTGGGGAGGGAGGAACCGGCAGAGAAATGGATCTGGTTGTCACAGTGTTGCTGATTTTAACATTGGATGTAAAATGACAAATGCTTATAATAAACAAAATATATATTCAGTCTTAAAATTAACTGTGTAGTGTGAATTTGAGTGCTCCTTTTTGATAAATGTATTTGGGGAATCAGTTTTGCGCTTTTCCAGGCAAAGCTGGTAGTGTGAGGCAGAGCAGATACATTATATGGTCTGTTTGTTAGATTCTTGTACAATTGACGAGTAAGATTAACGTGCAAATATTTGTGTCTAAGGTAAACCATTTTGGTTATACTCTTACAATTCAAAGTTGGTTATTGGTGTCCATTTTAGGAGTAACTAATTGATTTTGGCCAGTTTGCTCTTGTTCCAATTGAATGGCTTGTACTGTTTGTAGTCCCTTCTCCCCACCGGACATGCTTTATTACGACGTGATGTGTCATGTCCGCTTATTGACAGTAGTCCAGTGTTTAGCAGGAACCTAGTGCAGTACTTTTAGGATTCTTTGACATACGGTAACACGTTCACCATCTAACACAGAGTGAGGTGACATTTCCTGCAACTTCTAATCCTACTGTAAAAATGTGAGGAGACGTTCCTAGGTTTTGAATCAAATGATCGGAGAGTGCAGCATCCAATGAGCCATTTTCTCATTCACTGGTTTGTAAATCAAAGCAATGTTCCAAAATAAAACCTGCTGTAAACTATTATTTTGGCTCTGATGTCAGTCATTTTCATACACGCTTGTCAAACACATTCCCAAAATAGTTCTTTAAAGTTGTCTTCATCTTCTTTATTTTATCAAAACTTGCACACAAAAAAAAAGAAATCATTGTGAGCAAATGCTTCTATATGAATATGTACAAATAGGGAAACAATCATAAATACACTTTAAACAAAAGATGTTTAAAAGCGACCGCACTGTTAAGGAAATAAAATCATGCAGTGCACGTAAGCCACATTCCAACGACCAAAGCACGAACCATAGTGTGCTCAAGGAACCGACACAATGTCCCTAAAAACAAATCTCTCCTGTTAGGAAGAAAATGCACCTCTTCAGAGAGAGCGCAAAGAAGCCACAAGAGGAAGAGCCACGTATGCCAAAGGTCTACTTTTCTTTCTGCAAGAACCACATCCCAATAAGATATTTTAGCTTTACATTTTGTTTCCACCTTCAAATAATATTCCAATTATGAACAGTTGCCATAAAAATGCTACACATCATTTACAGATGCATCTCAATACATTAAAATATCGTGCAAAGTTAATTTCAGTAGTTAAAAAAAAAAGAAACTCATTTTTATAGATCCACTGCACAGAATTTATATTTCATTATAATTATATTTCACACCTAACCGAAACCCCAAATTAACCACAATGAAGAAATTACATTACGAATAAAATCAGTTTAAAATGTTAAAAGTTATAACGGAACCAGCCTTCTGATTTTTGTATTCCTTTCATCTTCCTGTTTAATGAATCTACATATATGAGTTTCACTATTTTTAAATTCAACTGCTGAAATAAATTCATCAAAATGCACTTGTATGGATTTCATTCAACCTGCATTTTAGAGTATAGAAGTCACTGTTAGCTCGTAAATAACGGCGGTGGCTGAAAGCTAATAAAACACGGAAGCGTTACTAGCACCACTGGCAGAATGCGGGAACGTGTACCTATTCTCAAAGATTTGTTCCGTGGTAAAATGAACACTCCCCTCTGCTCAGATACGCCAATACGCCACATGTGGCCAACAGAAAGAGCAAATTTTACAGTCAGTGTTCTGTTAGGGCAGCCCACCACGTTTTGTCCTCAGTTTCTGGGCTGGGAGTTGAACTCGTGGCAGATATTTTGGACGATCTTGGACACAAATTTGTACAGGTTGTCAAACTCATCCACAAAGAAGGAATGCTCCTTGTCGGGGTCAGTGGCGATGTACTCCAGCTCGTCCTGGGCAGCCCAGGCGATCCCGATGGAGTAGGCGATCACACCTGGAACACAGGTAGGAGGAAGAGTTATACACTACAAAGACACAATAATAATGAGATCAGCGCATAACACTGGAGAACAACAAAATCTAATCAGAGATTACTTTATGTGTCCCGAAATTAATGTTTTACTTTTTTTCCACGTACATCCGGTTTTGGACATATTTGCATTTTTTTTCTTTTTAAGTTTGACCAATAAAAGCTTGCGCAATAAAGACTTGATCATGCTTTGCAATACTCAGCTATGATGTTTCTGAAAAATAGTCCACCAGTTACTGAAACTAACTCTTAATTCATAAATAATATGAAATATTTGACACAATATATTATTGTTTTCATATTATTATTGTTATTAGAATTATTAGAGGAAACCAGTTTAGTGGAGCCCAGTTTTAAAAGCAAACATGGTGAAGCAGCATTTAGCTGTACTGCTGCACGAAAGTGATATATGCTCCCAACAGAGGTGAAGACAGCTCCTTGGTAAATTCTTTAAAATTGAATTTAAGAATAGTTTTTTTTCTCCCCTTCATTACTTTGATTAAGGTCTTTTAAGCATTAAAAATCTATTTCACTGTCATTAGTTTTAGAAAGCTACTTTTATTTCTTTACATTGCTCATAAATGTTTGCTGTCCATGAATGATCTTTTACTAATTCTTCGTAAGCTACTTTTGTTGTCTTTTGGTTGTGTGAAGCACATTCAGTTATCTTGTGTATGAAATGTACCGTAAAAATGATGTGGGCAGATTCAGAATCGATGCAAAAAAAAAAAGAAATCATCGAAAAATGTACTTGCATCTCTGATCGAAAACAGTAAGTAAAGATTTGTTGAGCAGTGTGATTGGAATCAGATTTTAGCACCAACTTTGTCTCCTTTACAAACTTCAACAGGTCTCACCTTGGCTATGCACAGCCAGTGCAGGTGCTCTGACATCATCGTAGGAGCGTCCATCTGTGATAACGATCATAATTTTGCGTTTGTTGGGCTTGGACTTGGTGAAGAGTTGCTCGGCGGCGAAAGTGATGGCAGCTCCCGTGCTGGTGCCGCCGCTCCAGTAGTTGATGCGTTTGATGGCGTTGAGCAGCTCGGCCTTGGAGTTGTGTTGCCCGAAGGCGAACTCCAGCCGCTGCTCGTAGGTGTATTGCACGGCGCCCACTCGCGTGTCTGTGTCGGAGATCTCGAACTCTCGCGTGATGTTGGCCACAAACTGGAGCACCGTGCGGAAGTTGCCAGTGCCCACGCTGCTGGAGCCGTCGATGACAAAGGCGATGTCGTTGGCGTTGAGGCAGGTTTTGCTGCAAACCAGTCGGTCTGTGTCGCACACTCGCTTCACCAGAGGTTGCACAGTTTTCCTCAGAGCGAACCAGCTCGACACGGGCAAGGAGAAGAAGCCGTTTGTGCGACACACTGCCTGCGGGATCGCAAGACAACACGGTTTCTGATGAAGTTTGGACACAACTTTTTGACTCAGAGCGAACCAGCTCGACACGGGCAAGGAGAAGAATCCGTTTGTGCGACACACGGCCTGCGGGATCGCAAGACAACAGGGTTTCACCAGATGGTCCTTATGAAGTTTGGACATAACTTTTTGATAATCAGTATTTCGCAGTCTTTTTATTGACAAATTTACTTAAGCCAAAATATCGGCATGTTTAGTTGAACACAAAGCAGATAAGACTATAAATAGAGATTAATCAACAACTGTTCTAAAATTAATCAACACGTATTTTTATAATTGATGACTAGTTTAGAGGCCCTGTTTGATTGAAAATTGTCCAAATCCTATTCTCAGATTTGTGTGCTCCTCCATGAAAGCAGACTGATTGTTGAATCAAAATAATACATCAAACAGCTTTTAATTTGGAAAACACAGATCACAGATTTGCGCATTTTCTGAAATTCACGGACCGAACCCAAAGCTGATTCATACTGAATATTTGTGCATTTTCTGCACTGTCAATTTGAAACAATGTTCTGTTTTCGAATAAAGGGATAAAATTTAAAACATATTTTTGTCATCCAAGTCACCGATTCATCAACAAAATAATCAACAAATTAATTGATTATTACAATAGTTGCTAGTTGCAGCTATATTTTTTTGTTGCCGATGCCAATTGCAATAGTTGGCATAAAATTGTGATTAATGATTAATCGTCCGATTAATTATTTTAAAAATAATGAATTAAATAACTACTTTTTTGATCCTTCAACACTTGCAACAATTAAGATATGAATTACAGGCAGAGCATTTTACTATTTTACAATTCTGTTTCTTTATTTATCTTAAGTATGTGTTTAACTCTATAACAGAAAAAAAAGCGTTTGAACATCTTTATCGTTGTCTTACATTGTAAAGTGCTAATGTTGTGGCGATTTTAAAAGAACCACCTAAAATGAATTGCAACAGCTGGATACACATCAAGTGTACCCTCTGCCATCTAAAGGAACAGCATGAAATAGATCTGCCTGCCACTACATGTCACTGGCATAGATAGCCGAACAAAGATTTTAGGACAGGCTAATGTGACGTGTGTGGTTCGGAATCACTGCTCTGTGGGTCTTACCTTGTCCACAAAATTAGCCTCCACTAGGTTTTGTTTCTCGTTGTCGTCGGCACCCTCGATGGTGACGAAAAAGATGTTGATGCCGGATTCCCTCGCGAGCCGCGACGCCTCCGCCACCTTGTCCGTGGGCCAGCCGTCCACCAGCACCACGGCGACATTTGGAGCACCTCCTCTGTTCCCGTTGGCATCGCTGAAGTAGTGCGTGTTGATGTAGGCCAGGGCCTTCCCTGTTTAGACACCAGGGGGCAGCAAAGTGAAGAACAGTACAACCATGCTTGCATTTTGAATCGGCCTTGTCCTTTTGCGGGTCAGACAATCGTAGGATACATACAGACAACCTTTCATTCACATTCACTCGGATGGCGTCTTCAGTCAACCTAACATGGGCGTTTTGGGAATATGGGAGATTTAAACCCAGGACGTCAGAACTGTGAGGCAGACACGCGAATCACTGTGTTGCCTGTCATATTGTAACCCAAGTATTTATTTATAAGCTTTTTCAGGTCTAAGTATATATATTCTGGTTTCATACTAATTATAACGTATTGGATTTTTCTCAACTGTGAAACAGATGTGCCACTATCCAAAACGCTGCACCCGATAGATATGAGCACGGATACGCCAGGCATATACAAGTGCTGTTCCTCAAGCAAGGTATGAACATAAGGTACAGAATTATGGTTAAGAATAAAAATAATTTAACAGAGAATTGTGCTTTGAGAAACGGCGATTTCTAAATTTACAGTGAGGACAAATTCTCACTTCATCAAATACTTGAGGTTTTGGAGACTTGCCTATGTTTCCTAACCATGCATGCACCCGCTGTATTTGACACAATAAAACTATAAACAGCATGTGTAGCCTATTTCTTATACAAGTCCACACAAGCACGTCTGTAAACTATACAACAGCAGCTTTATATAATGTGATCCTGTCATTAAGCATGGAATAGGCTGCATTCCAATCTAAAAATGGCGAAACAGGAGACACTTTGTTAGTGACTATTATAAGTTCTCATACTTTTACATGATCTGAGGGTGAACAAACAAACAATGCTATTTGAATCCAACTCGTTCTCAGTGAAAGCCCCCCACAAGTCCACCATCCCCCTAACCCTCACTCCCCTTCTGTCTGGTCCGAGCCAAAGAAAAACACTGTT